AGATCCCGAGAGGAGAATGGAGAAGAAGGGATTGCGGTGTGGCCATCCCCCTGGGGGGTGATTTCTCACTTTCTGTCTCTCTGTCTCTCTCTGTTTGTCTGGTGAGCGTACATCCCCTATGGCAAAAAACCTCTCCAAAACAAACAAAAAAAAAAACAAAAAAAAAAACCACACATTACAGAATACTGCAGTAATGTAAGGATGAATGAGACCAGAGCGTGGGGAGAGAGGACAAGATGGGACTGGCAGTGGGGAGATGTGGTAGGAGACAGACCCTGTAAGGCCTTGTTAACTGCCATAATCGTTTTGGGTTTTATTCTTAGTTCAATGGGAAGCTACTGAGGTTGCGGGATTTTCTTTCTCTTTCTTTCTTTCTTAGGCTTTCTCTTATTTCTTATTTATTTCTTCTGTGAATAAGAGACAGAGAGACAGAATCTCCAGCAGGGTCTTCCAAGCCACGATCCACTCTCAGCCTTCAGTCAGCTCTGGAGAGGGAGGTCTCCAGACTTGAACCGGGAAACTTCCCAGGTGGGGCTGCTTCACAGAGTATTTTCCTACGGTGATACCTTGTTTGTTGTTTCTTTCTTTTTACGTTTTTTGCCACAGGGCGCATGAGCTCAGAGGAAGGAGACAGAGAGAGGAAAAGTGAGATACCCTTCTCCTCCACTGTCCTCTCAGGATCTGGGGCAAGCAAACACACATGCTCACTGTGATTTTTCAAGTCACTGGGTCTGGCACTCAAACCTTGGTCAGTCATATGGGAATCCACGGTCTCCCCCCCCCCCAGAGGTTTTTGCCTTTGGGTGCGTGCACTCGCTTAAGAGAGAAACAGACAGACAGTAAGAGGGAAAGTGAGAAATCACCTCCCGGGGGGATGGCCAGTCTCAAATCCCTTCTCCTCTATTCTCCTCCTGGGATCTTGGGCACACACATATGCCCAGTGTGATTTTCAAGCCACCGAGTCGAGGACCTGAACAGTGGTCTGCCATGTGGGAGTCCAACAACATAACCACTATGTCATCATTTGTGGCTTGGGAATCCAAGGTCTTAACTGCCATGTCACCTGCTGGCCCTGCCTTGGTTTATTTTTTTAAAGAGAGAATGCTATGGTATATGCGCCCTACAGCAAAAACAGAGAGAGAGAGAGAGGGAATGCTATGTTGCCCAGGTGTTCTCTCCAACCAGTGATGCTCCTGCCTCAGCCTTCTGAGTAGCTGGGATTATAGGTTTGCCACTGCACCTGGCTCAGTTGTTTTTTGCCCCAAGTTACAAGAGGACTTCAGAAAGTCCGTGGGAAGAAAATAGAGTGTGACTCTCTCTTGGTGCAAAGAAGAAAAAAAAGAGAGGAAATCCATAGTCTTTTCATAATATGAAGTTTCCATAAGCTTTCTGAAGACCAGCATATAATCACTTTTAAACTGAGATATAATCTGTCTACAATTAAATGAAAAGATCTTTTTCTTTTTTGAGAGAGGTTTTTGCTATAGGGCGCGTGTGCTCACCAGACAGAGGGAGACAGAGAGACAGAAAGCGAGAAATCACCCCCTGGGGGGAATGGTCACGCCGCAATCCCTTCTCCTCCATTCTCCTCTCGGGATCTTGGGCACGCACGCACACACGCCCGGCGTGAGTTTTAAGCCACCAGGTCCAGGACTCGAACTACAGTCGACTACATGGGAGTCCAACGACATAGCCATTACGCTAACTGCTGGTCCCATCTTTATTTTTTAAAGAGAGATTTTTCCTATAGAACACGTGCGCTCACCAGAGACAGCAAGAGATAGACAGAAAGGGAGAAATCACCCCGAAGGGGTATGGCCACACCACAATCCCTCATCCTTCATTCTTCTCAGGGCATTTTGGGCACTCTCGCACACGCTCCCAGAGTGAGTGTGAAGCCACCAGGTCTATATGGCTGTCAGCCATGTGGGAGTCCAGCTACATAACCATTACGCCATCTGTTGGTCCCTAAATGCAAATATCTTAACTGTTGAGTATCATAAGTATTTTTTAAAAGAATTATTTTACTTACAAAAAAAAGAATTATTATTTTACTTAATTTTATTTATTTAAATTTTGCCACAGAGGGACAAGCAGGAGAGAGAGAGAAAGCGAGAGAGCAAGCTGCCAGGCCTGGGACTCGAACCAAAGTCAGCCATGTGGGAATCCACCGCCCTTAACCACCATGCCACCTGCACGCCCCCAGTACCCTAAGTTTTGACAATTGTACGCTTTGATGTTACCGCCACCTGAAAAAAGAACTTTTTCATCAGCCCAGAAAGGTCCCTCGTGCCCTCTTTCCCACCAGGTCTCCCCATCTCGAGCATTGATGGGTTTCAAACACATTTATTTGCGTTTTGAAAGGCCCACGCCGGCTGCAGGCTGCGGTGTGAAGGACGCAGGGACTAACCAGGAAGGTACCGCACAGGCCTGTGGGGAGCTGGGGGCGCGGGCTTGGAGCGCCCGGCAGTTGCTCAGCAACCAGAAAACGCTTTCTGGGGTCGCCGGTTCCTTCCCTGGCAAAGACGGAGGCCCCGCCTCACCCCGCTCCAGGCCCCGCCCCCGCCCGTGCAGGAGCCGGTAGGCGTCCCCGTCCTTAGTCACGGGGCGGATAGCGGCTTCTTATTGGTCAACTCTCCGGAAGCGACGGGATTCGGAGTCTGGCCGACAGCAGTGCTGACGGCGAGGGCTGCGCGCGGAGGGCGGTCCGGGGGGGGGGCGGC